GTGCATTCCCCATAGAAACAAAGAATGGAACAAAAGAATAATAAAGGAACCTCAACTTTTCTTCATTTATGTAGGACAGTCTTATAATATGCTTCCAGATATCCTCCAGTCACACAAGCTGAAAATTGTTTCACTTTACTGCAGTTCTGTAACCATATGGGAACCAATCCTGTCTGTGTTCTGTGCACATCCAAAATTCCTGCTGAATGACCTGCCCTGGGAGCGAGTTACCAGTGACCCAGGGCTGGGGCAGCAGGAGGGTGCAGTTGTGGGGGAGGGAGGGAGAGATCCCAGGGCTGGGGTGGGGGGCAGCCAAAAATTTTTTTGCTTGGGACAGCAAAAAACCTAGAGCCGGCCCTGCTTAATGTATCGATCTCAACGATTGTCCCGTTTTCTCAGTATGAGACAAGGAGTCCTCCCCTCTTGCGCTCTCCTGCTCGTGCTTCCTCCCGGTATCCCATTTCCCCACTTACCTCAGGGCTTTGGTCTCCTTCCCAGTGAACCTAGTTTAAAGCCCTACTCACTAGGTTAGCCAGCCTGCTTGCGAAGATGCTCTGCTATGAATCTGAACCTTAAAAATTGAACTCATGTCTGTATGTATATTGATCTTTTAACCATTCTCTCTCTCTCTCTCATTTTTTAATAAATTTTAGTTTAGTTAATAAGAATTGGCCGTAGCATGTATTTGGGCAAAATCTGGAATATTCAATAACCTGGGAGGTCTTGCGTCTGATGAAGTGGGCATTCACCCACGAAAGCTTACGCTTCTGTTAGTCTTAAAGGTACCACAGGACCCTCTGCTGCTGGGAGGTAATGTGTCCAATCCTTTGGGATTGGTAGAACCTTTTCTTTTATATGATGAAATAAAATTTTCAGAAAACATCATATTTGACTTAGGTACCTGGATGGAGGCCTGAGGCTGGATCACTTTAAGGGAACTGTGTTGTTTGGACTTCTGAGGATCCAGTAAGGTAATAAAGAAGCTATTTTATGCTGGCTTGGTGAATCTAAATATTGGAATATCCACTGGCTTTATGGGGATTGCCTGCCCCATTCTTTGCAGGTCACCCTAATTGCAGGTCACACCCTCTTTATCAGGGTACGTCTACACTACCCGCCGGATTGGCAGGTACTGATCGATCTATCGGGGATCGATTTATCGCGTCTAGTGTAGACGTAATAAAATTAGATTCTAGTGTAGACGCGATAAAATCGATCCCCGATCGCTCTGCCGTCGACTCCGGAACGCCACCGCGGCGAGAGGCGGAAGCGGAGTTGATGGGGGAGTGGCAGTGGTCGACTTGCCGCCGTCCTCACGGCCAGGTAAATCGACCTAAGATACGCCGCCTTCAGCTACACTATTTGTGTAGTTGAAGTTGCATATCTTAGGTCAACCCCCCCCCCCCCATGTAGACCTAGCCTCACTTAGCATGGAGTGTAATTGGCGTGACCTTGCTCTGTTGCTGGCAGCAGCCACTACCAGAGAGTTGGGCACAGAGTGGGCATGAAAGTATGAGAGGGTAGCTGGTAGAGCACGTAAGCCTTCTTGGAGATGGGTTCACAAGTGGCATTGGACCACAAAGATTTGGCCAGTTGCAACAACCCATCCAGGACAGGAAGTGATATTTTACTCTTGGCAGTGGCACCGATTATGTCAAATACTGGGTGGGAAGTCTCTTCCGCTGGTACCATCAGGAGAGTCAAGGTGGCTACCATGTAATCCACCAGGTCTTGAAACTACATATGCCCATGGGGCTGCATAATTCTGCCTAAACTCAGATAGCAAGAAACAGTAAAGGCAGCAGACAGAACTGTTCTCAAAATTATAACTCCTGTCCCCCACAGCCAGTCCACTGTAGGATCTGTGCATCTGAGGGAGGTGAGGAGGAGGCTAGTGCAATCTCCATGGGACACTCATCAATATGAGGAAACAGAGAGGGAATTCCCATTGCACCAGGGATAAAGCATAATGAGAGCTGCCACTGTCTTGTGTTGCTCCCACAGTAGGTCATGCTCATGGCCTGCAGCTCTGGAACCTCAGAGGTCAGTTCCTATAGCGACACTCACACCAAAACACCTCTCGGCTTCACTCTGAAAAATAATCTTTATTGTACACAGGAGCATGTGCCCCAGGAAGCTATAGGTGAGAGGTTCAGTCACTGGATTTCATAGAATCAAGGGGGAATCCTGCAGGGCACGCTCTCTATAAATACTCATGGGGGAGCACAGGTATATGGCTTCAGTGTTCTGGACCTAGCCAGAGGCCCAGTTGCTTTAGGGACAGCAAAGGAACCAGTCCTTGTCTCTTCACAGGCTCAGTTCAGCGGCCCTGGAGACCTGGACTAAGAACAGCGCCAGGAGAATTAACTTTCCTCCATTAAACTATGAGTGGGGGTAGGGAGGGCATTCTAAAACCAGGAAGGGAGAGGCACACCTTACAAAGTAGACTGCAGCACTAAGTGAGGGCTTATCTGATGGGTTCCACCCTCCTTTCTCAACTGGAGCAGTCATCGCTGTGTTCAGAATCCTCATCTCCAGGTACATTAGTATCTCATTATCTGTATGGAGCATGTTCAGGGCTCTGTAGAGAGCTCTGAACTCTGCCATCTACACAATAAATGGGAACCGGTCCAACTGCACTTAGAGTGTATGCCATAGGGTACATGCAGCCACCCCAGCAACACCAGTCACAGGCTTCTCCAGAAAGAAGTCTCATGAAGTGGGGGTGGGGGCAGAGGCCTTAGGAATCTTCCCCTCCCAACAGCGAGGGGTTTGTCTGTGGGGTTCTTGTAGTCCATGGAGAGCTCAGACCCCTTGGAGCTATACCCTGTAGCACAAACTGTCCAGGTTTAGTCTTTTGAAAAGGAAACAGGGTGCAGGAGCAGGGCATCTCTTCTCCCCTCCTGTCCTCAGCAAGAGCTGCACAAGCTTTATAATTAGTGCAATGATTAAATTAGAGATAAAAGGTCAAGTCCCCTATTCCCTTTCAATAATTAAATTACTGCCCTTCTCCTGCAGGGGCATAGCAGCAAATACTTACAAAAGCCCTTAGATGGAAGGTTCAGCATGTCTGCACGCTGCAGTGACTGCCCTTCTCCTGCAGGGAACTCTACTGAGCTGAAACCCAAAAATTAGCCCCATTGAAAAAGTTATAAAACAGACCCTGATTGGTTTTACGTAGTATCCCGTAAAAACTCCACAACTTCCCTTTCTTGTTTTTAATCATCACTAGAAGGGCCCAAGTGGGCGGGTTTAAGAGCTGGGGGATAAGGGTGCTTCCTTCCCTTGCTCATGGACTGGTGCAATCTCTGCAATATGATGGGGCTATCTGTGAAAGGGAAGGAACACTGGAGATGGGTAGGGTGAGCCACCTCCTGCAAAGCCAGTGACATGTGGACTAATGAGGGGCAAGTGGCCAATGCCCCTTTCTAGGCTGGTACAGCCATTGACACCGACTTGAGTGTAAGGATGACGAGATGCAATGGTGCCAGCTAACCTGCTGAAGGCACTGGGGAGCTGCAGCCACATGACAGCATTTTCTCTGCAACCTCCATCACAGATGATTAACAGCTGGAGTGGAGCCCTCTGCAGGTGGAAGCTGCAGATTACATCACTGCCTTCACTCATTCCCAGCCTGAGGAGCCTGACTCAGAAAAGATGACTGGGTAATATTTCGTGGGGGTGTGTGTGAAGGGTTGTCTTCTGGAAACAGACAGACCCCGACCTTCAGCCGCAGGAGCCACCCAGTTGGGCCAGAGCAAGCAGCTCAGGGGCGAGCACTGGAGACTGATGGGCTCAGTTGCCCCCCAGAGCTAGCTAGGTGAGTGGGCAGCTGGTGCGGGGCACTGGTGACAGCTGGCCCAAAAACCTGTCTGGCGCAGGAATGGGGTAAAGATCTGATGCTCAGGGAGAGACTGTTGGCCCTGCTCACAGGTGGCCTGTAAAGCACAGGAAGAGTAGGATGTGAAGCATGAACAAATACACAGTCACCAGCAGTGGTAGGCGGGTCCGGGAACAGAAGAGAGCGCGCAGCTGCCGCCACAAACCAGAGTTGCTCCGAGTCTGAGGGGAAGAGTAAAGGAGAAACCAGTTAGTGCCAGTAAGTGCTGAGCCCAGTCACCTGCACCGTATCAAAAGCTTTGCTGAAGTCAACATATATCACGGATATATCTTGATCAATAGCATCAAGAGATGATAATAAATGATGATGATAGCACTGCTGAAGACTTGAGGTGCTGGGAACCCCATCCTACCCCTTTGGCCAGGCAGTAGGGAACTGGCTTAAGATCATTAACCCATCCATAGCTGGAGGGCAGGATGCCAGCTTCTGCTGAATGGGTTGTTATGAGCATTGGCACTCAGTCATCAGTGCTCTTACAGCATTGGCCTCACTGGGCACCTCGGGTTCCCTGATTCACATTGGCAAGGCTTGAGAATCAGCATGGAATAGGCAGGGGTGGCCAACCTGTGGCTCCGGAGCCGCATGCGGCTCTTCAGAAGTTAATATGCGGCTCCTTGCATAGGCGCTGACTCTGGGGCTGGAGCTACAGGTGCCAACTTTCCACTGCTCAACCCCAGGCCCTGCCCCCACTCCACCCCTTACCCCAAGGCCCCCACCCCTTCCTGCCCCCTCCCCTGAGCCTGGTGCACCCTTGCTCCTCCCCCCTCCATCCCAGAGCCTCCTGTACACTGCGAAACAGCTGATCGCAGCGGGCAGGGAGCACGGGGAGGGAGAGGGAGGTGCTACTCGGCAGGGCTGCTGGCAGGCAGGAGGTGCTGGCGTGGCTGCTGATGTATTACTGTGGCTCTTTGGCAATGTACATTGGTAAATTCTGGCTCCTTCTCAGGCTCAGGTTGGCCACCCTGGGATAGAGTCTAGCTGATACTCTCCCAGCCATGAGCACAAGGCAGCATCCAGTCACCACAGCACTGCCAGCAGCTCTGATGACTCAGCTGCCGACTCTGGCTGGGCTGCAGTTGCTCCAGTGGGACCTTTCCTCCTGGATTCTCCAGAGGGAACCACTGGGCTCCTCTGTCCAAGAACTCTCTCAATGGGGATTCAACACATATTGAGACAGCTTGGGCTTCTGCAAGGCCAGCACTCAACATGCAGCTGGCATACAGCTCTGCTTCTCCAGTGGCATCTTAGCCAGACACTGGGAAGCAAATACAGGTGGCTTGGATGGGAATGAGCTAGCTGAGACTCCATCCAGAGAAGACAGGGGACTGGTAAAATAGCAGGATGGTCTCTAGAGATTTCCATTTGGGGATGCTTTTGTGTTCTTGTATGGCATTGTGGCCCTACATGCTCAGCAGGGTGACTGGGACCATCTCGGGTGCAAGCCCCGGTGACCTGTTTTAGTGATCTCTAGAACACACACTGCAGGAAACTGCTCACATGGGTCAACTAGAAGCCAGTGCAGAACATAGCTGTTGGCCGCTGGGTGGTGCTAGCCATAAGCAGTGCATTACTCCAGCTCACGAACTGGCTTCCTAGCCACTTCTGAGTGTGGTTCAGTGTATAAGGCTTGGTCTACACTTACCCCCCAAGTCGAAGTAAGGTACGCAAATTCAGCTACGTGAATAACGTAGCTGAATTCGACATACCTTACTTCGAACTTACCGCGGTTCAGACGCGGTCCACACGCGGCAGGCAGGCTCCCCGTCGACTCCGCGGTACTCCTCTCGTTGAGCTGGAGTACCGCAGTCGACGGCGAGCACTTCCTGGTTCGATTTATCGCGTCCAGACCAGACGCGATAAATCGAACCCGGAACTTCGATTGCCAGCCGTCGAACTACCCGGTAAGTGTAGACCAGCCCTAAGGCCCATATGATTTCTGGCAACGTGCTGCTACCACTGCAGCCATGATCAGGCAACATATAGAACTTAGTCCTGCCAGGAGTGCAGGGGACTGGACTAGATGACCTCTCAAGGTCACTTCCAGTCCTACGATTCTATGACATTGCGTTTGCTCACGCTGAACCACCGGGTCATTCTCACTGAGTGACCCTTGACTCTGATACTCCGAGATTTTTGACCTTCTTGGCACAGAGTAAGGCACACCCTTTGGTGGGTGACGGGGAGGAGTCTAACTATTGCACTTTGTACGTGAGACTAGGGACCATTTTACTGAGGCACATTTTACTGAGTCCATAAGCCCTCTCTGCACAATCAGCTGCTGCTTTATTCTATTTAGAACTTTGGGCAAATATTACAGGGTCCTGAAAGGTGGGAGAAGCCCCTGATGCAGCCTTGGCCTCCAGGAGCCCAACCAGTTCCCAAGGTCACAGTTGCAAGAGCCATATGTGTAGCTGCAAATCCTGAATGATGCAGGGTGTGGAGACATCTTGAGCCATGCAGCTGGAGTGGTAGGTTCTAGAGGCTATGAACTATATCCAGTGCTGAGAATCAACATGGTTCCGTTCCCCATGTTCTGGCCACATTCCTCTGCAGCAGCAATTGTTCACATGTCCTACATTATGAAGCTAGCTCCCTGGACCCAGCCACTGCAGTAGTATTCTTACCTTGCCAAAGGAACTGTCCATGGGGTCAATCAGCAAGGAGTGTTCATGGGATGGAGACACATCAATGCTGGAACCCAGAGCAGATGCCCATTCACTTGACTCCAACCTGAAGAAGAGAGAGAAACACTCATTAATTGCTAAGTATCAGGGGGTAGCCATGTTAGTCTGTATCTACAAAAACAACAAGGAGTCTGGTGGCACCTTAAAGACTAAGATTTATTTGGGCATAAGCTTTTGTGGGTAAAAACCTTACTTCTTCGGATGCACTTCATTAATTGCTAGAACACACAATGCAGCAAGCTGCTCACATGGGTCACCTAGAAGCCAGAACCAGTGCAGAACATGGCTGCTGGCCTGCTGGGCAGTGCTAGCCATAAACAGTGCATTACTCCAGCTCATGCACTGGCTTCCTAGTCACTTCTGGGTGTGGTTCAAGAGACTGGTGTTTAAGGGCTATATGACAAAAATTATTAAAGATCTAGAAAACACGACCTATGAGGAAAGATTGAAAAAACTGCATTTGTTTAGTCTGGAGAAGAGAAGACAGAGGGGACATGATAACAGTTTTCAAGTACATAAAAGGTTGTTACAAGGAGGAGGGAGAAAAATTGTTCTCCTTAATCTCTGAGGACAGGACATGAAGCAATGGGTTTAAATTACAGCAAGGGAGGTTTAGGTTGGACATTAGGAAAAACTTTCAGTCAGGGTGGTTAAGCACTGGAATAAATTGCCTAGAGAAGTTATGAAATCTCTGTCATAGGAGATTTTTAAAAGCAGGTTAGACAAACACCGGTCAGGGACGATCTAGAGAATACTTAGTCCTGCCTTGAGTGCAGGGGCCTGGACTAGATGACCCACTGAGGTCCCGTCTAGTATTCTATGATTAATAGGTTTCAATGCCCTGACCAGTGCTCTGGAGACACAATGAGATAATAGGAAACCACAAACAATAGGCCATGATGCCTACAAGGAATCGGTCAGTCAGTGAAGGCATGATTATGGCATCACTTGAGGAGAACTCATTTGTAAAAATTTGGTACCCCCTGGGAATCCAAATTACTTATCAGCTCCCTGTGTAAGGGCATGACCTTAGTTCCAGCCCTACTCCAACTCCCCATTGTTTGAGTCTTATTTCAAATTAACTTGAGAGCTCATTGGGGCAGAAGCCATGTCTGGCGGAGTGTCTGTGAAGCACCCAGCACAATGGGCCTGATCCTGAGCGGGGAATCTGGGCACTGCCATAATACAGATAAGCTCTGGTGGCCAGGGCAGACTAATGGAGATTCCCTACCCACAAGTGGAAGAACTGTCCTAGATTTCAGACAGGGATTCTTTGCTCAGAGGTGACTGGGAATGACCAGGAGGCTTCCTTTAAAACTGGGATTTTAAGGAAAAATCATGACCAACTTTCAGCCTTTCCAATGTGGAGCCCGGATTTTGCAGTGATGGACATTCTATAAAAAGCAGAGATGGACAGACAGCTAGAAACTTGGTGATGCACTAAGGTAACCGCTTGCTTGATTAGAAACACTCCACCTCCTGATGTGATCCTGTGCTGCTGAGAAAGCCTCCTCTGCAGCAAGACGCTGATCTCGTTCCTCCTGCAGCTGCTCTTCCAAATGCCTCAGGTCCTGCTTTGTACTGCTGTGCAGCTGTTTGGCCTCTGATAACCTGGTAGAAAATAGGACACTGAAATGCCCAAAATGTCTCTCTGGGGACCTCTGCTTATATTGTAGTCACTGCTCTAGTACATGGAGATTCTCTCCCTTGTCGCCACAAACAGGTGGGTTTTATTTACTTACTGTGGGAATGCTGAGATGAGGAGGTGGGTCTTGCACTGAGCCATGAAGGCTTTGTGGCCAATGCAGAAAAGGAGTTCTATAGCCCAGGGCTCCATCACCCACTCCCACCAGTAGTTCCATTATTCCCAAGGAGCACAGTTGTCATAGTAGGTCTCAGTCCCAGAGGCAGCCCTGGTCCAGCTCATTGAGAGCCTTGAAGATTGAGACCAGGACCATAAATGTAACTCAGTATTTACTGATGAGCCAGTGTAGTGAATGGGGAGCTAAGCTGACCCGCAGTGGGCAGCAGCAATTGCCACATTTTGCGGTCAGTGTCTGTGGTTTCATCTAAAGGAATAGTGAGTCACAACAACTGAGTGCACTTCAGAGATTCCAGAAGGTTCTAGGGTGCCACAGCAGGACTCAGACTTTTCCCTGCCCCACTGGGCATCAGCCAAGGTCCTGTGTTAGGATTTACACTCTTCCCTCTGTCCTCACCTCAGCTGTAATTCCTGCAGTTCTGGAGTGTAACACTCTCTTTGAAGTTCGTTCTTTTCCTGGGGGGCTCCTGGAGCAGCATCTGTCACGAGTGACCTCTGAAACAGAGTATATGTGTGGCAATGCATCAAGTGCTGGGCAGGGCAATCAGTGAAGCAATGGGAGAGCAGGATTAAGTCTCAAACAGATCAGAGTCCAGACCAGCTGCCATGTCACACAGTAAACAAAGTCTGCAGTGAGAATCGCCCTTCAATTCGCCTAGGCTGTCAAGAGGAATACACCACCTTCCCTCCATTACTCCGCCCCTTACCATGTCCTTGTTTGGGGATTGCAGCTCCTGCAGCTGCCTCTCCAGGGCCGTGCAGCGGTTCAGGACCTCACGGCAGTGCTGGTGGCTCTCACGGAGATTCTGGCTGCTGCCCCGCAGCTGGATAGAGAGGGCATTTTTCTCCTCAAAGATCTGAGAGAGCTGGGAAGAAGACCAAGCAAAGATGCTAAAACAGAACTCTGAGAGACGCTGCTCCCCTTGGCATCCACAGCAAAAGAGCTTTATTAGGAAGGTAGGGATTGCCAGACTCAATCAGACCCAAAATTCACGTAGTCCAGGATCCATCCCTGATAGTGGCCAGTACCTGATGCTTCGGAGGAAGGTGCAAGAACCTCACAATAGCAGATGAGGAATAATCTGCCCCCAGATTAGGTCTCATCCTGATCTTCAATAGTTAGAGGTTGGCTTTAGCACTGAAGCAGGAGGCTTAATATCCCTTCTAAAATGTATGTTAGCAATAACTCTTATAATGTTAGATATTCTTATCAACATAAATGTGCAAATCCCTCTTTGAATCTTGCTAACTTCTTGGGCTCAGTGACTTCCATATTACTTTATATGGGAATGAGATCGCTTCTTACAACCCGTAGCGCTGCAGAAGGCAGGCAGAGGGCACTAAAGATCAATGACCTAAATTGATAGAAATTGACCGATTTATGGCCTGTTTTCCTTATATAATCTACCTCCCTGCTCTTGGCTCTCAAGGAGGCATTTGAGAGTAAGGAGCAGCAGCAGAAGGGAACTGGTGTGGGGAAGGTCTTTCTGCTGGAGAGAGGATGGGTCAGACTGGGTGGTGAGAGAGAGAGGACTGCGAATATTTAAAAAAACAAAAACTCAGCAATGAGGCAAGTGATAAGGGGGCTACGGTCAAGATAAAAGCCATGCAATTTATTTCACTGAACTAGACTTCACGTAATCAGGATGGCTGTTTTATAAAGATGCCCCCCAGAGAGCAGGCTTAGCCCTTATAGAATGGCGATGACTGCTGCTTTATTGGGACTACACTGGCACAGATCTTACTGAATGCTGAGGGGTTTAGGTGGGATTAAGTAGGCAGAATACGAAATGCCCAGCTCTAGGCTTAATACTGAATTTGCCAAGTAACGTTTCTGGAAAAATTCAGTGAGGAGAATTTTATGTATGTCTGAGATTTGAATGTGTCCAGGATTCCTGGATCATTCAATGCTCAGGGTGGATGGCGAATAAGGCATTGTTGTGTAGTAAATGAGGCTATTGTCTGTTGGATAATTTGCTGCAGAAGCTGAAAGTTATGTAGTGACTAACACAGGGGACTGTACCAAAATGCACAGGAACAAGGGACCACAATTAAGCATGCACAGGCCACCGTAATTCTACCATTTTCTAACTTTTGACTGCTTGACTTTGCAATTTTGATAATTTTCTTTTGTACATCATTGCTTGTTTCTTTACGCAAAGAGAGATGACCCAAAACGTATGCACTGCAAGCAGAGGAGAAGCTGTCCGGGATCTGTTTCTTACCAGTTGGCAGGAACTGTGTCACAATGTGAATGTGAAAAGGACGCTTGTTGCCAGGGCCACAGACTGTCATCAGGACTGAATTAAAGCAATTTGGAGTCCTAGGCACACCATGACATAGGGCCCTTCAGGGTCCAGTCCCACAATATAGCCCTGTACCCAACCTGGAGTGGCAGAGGGCCCTCATCCGATCCCAGAGAGCTCAGGGGCAGCATCATCAGGAAATTTTTCCCATCCAGGAATGGCAGCTGGGATCCTTCACCCTCTGGGAGCAGCAAGGGCCCCCTTCTCCCTCCCAGTGAGGCAGGAATAGCAGCAAGTGCCCATCCCCACTGTCCTTCAATAACTATCCCGCTGCCAGACTCTCTCTGCTTGGGTGAGGGCTGGGTCTGCTATACTCTTCCCCATCTACCATATAGAACCCTGGTCTGGGCCTCTAAAGCAATGGGTCAGAGTTAACACTCCATTGAGATGCATGGGACAGTTCCTCTCTTTTGGAGCTATTATCTCAGGCTGTCTGCAAACTCAGACAGTCGGTGTATTGATTACACTCAGGCCACATTTTCAAACTTTTCTTCACAACCATAAGGGCAAGGAACTTACTTTTTAAAAAAAATTAGAACTCCTAATCTGATGTAATCACATGACTCCAGGAGTTGGGGCCCTAGACACAGGCCCATAGTACTTATGCCTTAATACAGCCCTGACTAATGAAGAAGTAATAGATGTAAGAGATGGACTGGATGGAGCCAAATCAATCTCTCAGAAGCTAGTGCAGGACTGTTCCCTAGCTATAATTATTAGTATTTTCACCAGTTTAAAGTGTCCCCAGTGTTGGAGCTCCCCACCACAGAAGACAGTTCATGAACTGGATCCATCTCCCTAATGGGGAGTGACAGGGCCCTGGCCCTTCCTCTGGGATCCATCCCTGTGCCAGGGAGCAACAGGGCCCCCAGCTCTGCCCTTGGGGATGATTCTCTGGCTGGACCCACGGCCCTGTCAAGGTGTGATGGGGCCCCCAGTTCTTCTCTAGGGAAGCTGTTGTGCAGCCCAACAGTTTTTCCTGATATTCACCCTGAGTCTCATTATTTCTCTGGGTGGGGGGTCTGTAGGCTCTGGGACAGACGTTTGTTCGCCACAAGCCCTAGGGACCTCCAAGGAGTCTACATTCCCAGCACAAGTCCCTTAAGCAGGCAGAGGTCTACTCCCTTCCTCCAAGTCCTATAGGATATCTGTTCTCTTCCTTGCCCTCAGTCCCAAGTTCCATAAGCAGGCAGAGGCGACTTGCTGTACCTTGCTGTTTAACTGCTGAATTCTCAGCTCCTTTTGGTGCAGCTCTTTCAGGCTGTCACCCAGTTGGACCCGGAGGTGATCTGTCTCGGCTTCTAGGCTGGACGGGTCCCCTCCGAAAGTCTCACTGGAGCTGGGGATCTCTGGAGAAGTCTGCCAAGAAAAGAGTGATGAAAGTACCTATTGCTGAGATCTTTGTTGAATCCCGTTCCCTTTTTAACCACGCACCTGTCTGGTGTACAAGTCACAAAACCCTCCAATAAGCCTATATCTGGAACCTTGCTTGCCAATGCCGAAGGGGTGAGAGTAAATGGCCACAGCACAAAGGGCAGCTGAAGAGCAGAACAATTAGTGAAAATTCAGTTGGCTTACACATGGAACTCTTGCATCCGAAGAAGTGGGTTGTAGCCCACGAAAGCTTATGCTCTAATAAATTTGTTAGTCTCTAAGGTGCCACAAGTACTCCTGTTCTTTTTGCCCTTCCCTGTTTGCCCAACAGCCTCCTTAGAGATCTGCAGCAGCAATGGCTCAAAAGGCACCAGTACATGGATGGGAATGTGCAAGAGTGTCAGCAAAGACATCCTTGCCCCTATGGCTCTTCAGCTTAGAGAACGAAGAAACTGGCACTCTGCCTCCCTTTCCTTCACATGATCCATGCAAGAACTCCGCAACTGTACACTCCAGCCAGCTGTATTGTTCCCACTTGGGCCTACAGATTGTAAGGTCTCTGAGACAGTGGCTTTGTCTACCACACTAAATACTCAACTTCAGCTTAAAGTATGAAATCAGCAGCAGAGAACATCCTTATTAGGCAGCTTGCTATCCTAAAAGAGCTTCTCAAAGCACTATCCCCAAACATAGCTCTTTCGTTTTTTGTTGTTGATACCTTGAGTGGTTGCTTGAGACCGGCATTGCTAAGTATTTACAGTGCTACTGAACAGGGACCCATGAATCAGGAATTCCTGAGCTCTCATCCCAGTCTGGCATGGACATCATCTGTGGCCTTAGTCAAGCCACACCTTCTGCCCCAGTGTCTCCATCTGCTAAATGCGGATATTTCTCACTAGTCCATGTCACAGGGATATTGGGATTATTATATAAGTAACAAACAACCCTCAGAGCCTCTGGATCTGGAACCTTTTATATGGCTGCTGCTGGGACACTGAGGGTCCCTAACCTCTAACACATCAGCATGCTTGTGCTGAAGGGAATTCTCTATAGTCAGAGTCATAGAAATTATCTATCTAAGGTACACCTAGAGCACCCATCATTAGTCTAGTGCCGGATTCAAGTAAGGAACTGACGTGCTGATGGGCCTAACCCATAACAGGGATCTAAGGGATGATCTGTCAAGTGTCTGAGAACCTGTAAGAGGGAACCAGAACCACAGTTTCTGGGGATGTTAGCACAGCAATACCTTTCTGACAGTTTCATGTCTGCATTCTCTCCGCATTATAGGAGGAGAGATTTCGGGTGCTGGAACAGACCTATGCTTTTTCCCCTTGGCCTTGAGGGCAAAGGAAAGTGTGCCCTTGTGGTCTGGTGCACACATTCCTGTCTAAAAACTGGATCCACACTGGATCTGTCTCACAATCCATACTTGGTTTGGGAACCATGGAACCACTTGTGGGGCTGTGATGCTTCCCAGGGCTGCGAGGCACCTCAATACCACTTGTCCTTAGCATGAGGAAGCCTTGTCTGTGGTTGGCAGGGGTCAGCTCCCTAGAGGGAAAGAAGGCTGTATAGTTTGAATGGCCTCCACATCAGCAGAAGTGGGATCAATCTCCTTGGGGACAGGCTGGTTAGAATAGTCAGGAGAGGGTTGAACTAACAGCAAACAGAGAGGGTTAAAACAGGGACGATATGAGCACTCAGCATGAAAATGAGATGTTGCGAACAAAATTAATCAAGGAACCAAAGGACGTGAAGAGAAGAAATTCTTGAATTGACAATACACCAATGCTAGGAGCCTGGGTAATAAAAAGGAGGAAATGGAATTACTCATTTATGAGCATAAATTCAATCTAGTTGGTATTACTGAAACCTGGTGGAATGATTTGCATGATTGGAATGTTAAAATCAATGTTTCTAACCTATTTAAAGGAAGGATCAAGTGAGCAAAGGGGTGGGGGAGTGGCACTCTGTGTCAAAAATTGTATTACCTGTTTCTGAGTCTTGGATAACTCATACAAAAATGATCCTGAATAGGGGACTAGTTGGTGTCTGCTATAGATCACAAAACACACTAGGGAACAGGATGACTGCCTCTTTATGCACCTTTCTATAACGTGTAGGAAAAAAAGCTGTGTGATCATGGGGAACTTCAATTTGAGTGACATATGCTGGAGGTCTTATGCTGCCAGTACTAAAACGTCCTTGGGATTTCTAACAATTATAGATTACAATTTCCTAACTCAAAAAGTGTTGCATCCAACACAGGGGAATTCTATATTAGACCGTGTCCTAACAGATAAAGAGGAACTGATCACAGACCTAAAAATTGATGGTATATCAGGTAAAAGTGACCATGATTGATCACATTTGTAATGTGCAAACAGAATAAAATTCAGACCAATTTTTATTACACACACACACACAGCTTTAAAAGGGCCAGTTTCACAAAGCTGAAAACAATTATGAGCCATATCAGCTGGGAAGTTGAAGTCAATCATAAAAGTGTGAATAATAATTGGGAATAATTTAAGAACACCTTACTAGACACCCAAAAAGCCACAATCCCATAATTGAGGAAGGAGGCCGTGCTGTTAAAAATCCCCACCTGGTTTAAAAGGGAAATTATGGCAGCTGTAAAAAAATAAAACAAAACAACCACAACAACAAATGGAAGAACGGGGAAGTTGATATTAATGAATATACAGCAGAAATCAAGAATTGTAGTCTGACGAAGTGGGTATTCACCCACGAAAGTTTATGCTCCAATACATCTGTTAGTCTTAAAGGTGCCACAAGACTCTCTGTTGCTTTTTACTGTATCCAGACAGACAACCTGACCATGGATCACAGAATCATAGAAGATTAGGGTTGGAAGAAACCTCAGGAGGTCATCTAGTCCAACCCCCTGCTCAAAGCAGGATGGCTGCCTTTACCCAGATCCTGGTGTGGATTTGCAGAGACTGTGTCCTGCATTTCCCACTCACAGAAAGCCAGGCTGGGGGGGGACCATCCAGCTGGTGGAATCTCTCAGGAAGCAGGTGGGAAAGCTAAAGGAGGAGGGGACTAGGCTGAGGCGCATCCGTGCCCACAAGGAATTCCTCGAGAGATTCATATAGAGACATCCAAGGCTGAGGAAGCTATCCAGCTACAGAGGACTGCTGTCACAACACCGGGGAGGAGGATATGGCTCTGTCACAGGGAGGACACTGGCTGGTTACTTCTGGCATCAGGCAGAGCTCCACCCCTAATCCCAACCCACCCACTGTGGTGATGGAAAACCGATATGCTGACCTAGCAATGAACGATTAGGAATCAGTCCCAAAGGTGGAGGAGGAGAAGCTATGTATCCCCAAGGCTGGGAGAATTGCAGCCACCACTCCCAGGAAGTAATGTAGGGTAGTGGTGGTTGGTGACTCTCTTCTGGTGGAGGTATGCTGCCTGCCAGGGGCTCGTATCCGAGACGTTAAGGAGGGATTGTCGAGGATCATCCAGTCCTGTGACTACTACCTCATGCTACTCATCCATGTGGGCATTAATGATACTGCAAGGTATGACCCCCTCAGCAGTTCAGACATGACTATGGGGCTCTGGGAGTAAGGGTGAAGGAGTGGGGAGTGCAGATAGTGTTCTCTTCAATCCTTCCAATCAAGGGTAAGCGCCTAGACAGAGGCAGATGCATCCTGGAGGTGAATGCCTGGTTGCGAGGATGGTGTCGCCAGGAGGGCTTCGGCTTCATTGACCATGGGATGCTGTTCCAGGAAGGAGGACTGCTTAAGCAGAGATGGGGTCCACCTATCTGTTGGGACATGTAAGGGTTAAGTAAAGACCTGGGTAACCGCTAGCATGGTATTAGGGAGGAAGGCGGGGCAGGCACTGTCTCTTTGCTTGATAAAGTGCTATCCCTCTCCCTTCCCTTCTCCTTGTTAAGGATTGATAAGCGTTGCAGCTGCATAAGGAATGTGGGGATCTAAAGAATACTCTTCATGTAAAGCAGTGATATCTCCCCATCCCTTCCTTTCCCAGACACATAAACGAGCTCGGGGTCATAGCCCCTTCCTCCCTTCCCTGTGAACTGCTGATCAAGGGAATTTGTGGCTGCAATTATTGCAAAAAAATGTATCTTCAAAGTAAAAACTATCTGTAGAATATGCTAATGTTGTAAACAGTAATCAGGGGCGGGGATAATTACATTCAGTATATAGCTATTGATATTCATTGTATGGGTGTTCATATTACTCAATAAGGGTTTTGGGGGTGTTGTAGTAAATGCAGGTATTTACATATTAACTTAGATAAAAAGAATGTGCTGTAACTAATTCAGTGTTTACTCGACAATTGGGTTGAGGGGAACAAGCACCGCAATAAAGAAGCCCGTCTACGCAATCTGCCTCTGGGTCAGCCTGCTCTTCTCTAACACTATCAAGGAAGGGGAAGAGCATATTTGGATACAGACTGGCTAACCTAGTGAGGAGGGCTTTAAACTAAGTTTGAAGGGGGCAGGTGACCAAAGCCCACAGGTAAGTGAAAAACATGGAGACCTGGGAGAGGGGTTGGAATTTGCGGGGAGCCTGGGCTGCTATAGCAGGGATAAAGGAGAGAAGACAAAACTCGGGGTGGGGGAATCAAATCAGTATCTTAGGTGTCTGTATATTAATGTGAGAAGCATGGGGAATAAGCAGGAAGAATTCGAAATGCTAGTTATTATTTTATTATTAGTAGTAAATAAACACAACTATGACATCGTTGGCATCACAGAGACTTGGTGGGATAACATGTGTGACTGGAATATTGGTATAGAAGAGTACAGCTTGCTCAGGAAGGACAAGCAGGGGAAAAAAGGAGGAGTTGTTGCCTTATATATGAAAAATGTATACACTTGGACTGAGGTTGAGATGGAAATAGGAGACAGACTTGTTGAAAGTCCCTGGGTAAGGATAAAAGGGGTAAAAAACAAGGGTGATGTCATGGTAGGGGTCTAC